AAAAGCTATATTTACTAATCATAAATGGAAAAGCTTAATACAAAACAAACACCAATATTTTTAAAAGAATTTTGAATTTTTCTTTGTATGTGTATAAACATGCTGATTTTTGTAGATAATGTCATGTATGATCGACCATATCAGAAAGTAAAAAAAAGTAATAGCTATAGAAAATTTAAAGCCAAAATTTCTAAAAATTCAATAAAACATTAGATTACAGAGAATATTTTCCTCAATTGTTAAGATTACTGAGTACTTAAAAATTATATAAAAAAGGTGATCATGTTATTTTCTTCAATTATGTTTTACAAATAAAGTCTCTGTAGAACAACATTAGATCTGTTAGCATGTCAATACCTTAAATAAACAGCTAGTGTCAGGTTAAAAAAATGTATTTGTGATATTTTAAACTTAAAGTAAATAATATTTGCTTCAATTCAGATTAATTGATTATAATTAATATGAATTGTTTTAATTCAGATTAATTATAAATCAGCTAATATTCCTCAAATAAAGTTTCAGAAAAGTATATTTTATTTTTGGAAGATTTTTCAATAAAGATAATTACATTGCGATGAAAGATGACTAAAAAAACAGGGTGCTAATCAACTATTTTAGCAAAAAATAAATAAAAATAAAATTAAAAAACTCCTTCCAGTCAATTTAAATTAGTTTTTGAAATACAGCAAAGTATGTTGCTTATTGAAAATATTAAATTTAATCTATTAACTTGGAATTAAAACTAAAATAAAAGCGTCAAGAAAGATTTTTCTGTTAATTTGCAGTATAAGCACCAAAAGCCGACAGTAATGAAAATGCTCCATTATGGTGTGAAATTGCCTGATTATTTTGAAAAATGACATTAAAAGTTTGCCCTCTATTACCATTTACAAGTTATGGACAATGTAAGTTCAACTTCTTTCACGTCACATCTACAGAACGGCCGCCATTACTGGCTTTGTTTACATATGCCTGCATCAAGTAATAATGCGTGGAAGCTTCACTTGTCTTGATTACTGTGCAAAGTTTAAAATGAATGCATGATTCCAAATATATGAGTAAAAATGAAAAATAAAATCAAAATTACATGCCTGAAAGGATAAAAAAAAAAATGACTTTTTCTCCCCCCCCCCCTATTTTTTTTTTCTTTTTTTCAATTATGTTGTGAAAGTTTCCTTTTTTTTTTTTCTTTGGAAAAAGGGTTCACCCATGACATTATATTTATTTAGAAAAGCTTTCAATTGTTTCTATAACAAATTTAAACCAATTTAATAAAAGAAAAGATTTCATTATATAATAAAGCTTCACTTCTATAAAGAAATAATACTTTTAATTGGAAAAAAAAAAAAAAAAAAAGAATTTATACCAATTAAAAAAAAAAAAAAAAAAGAAAACTATTCATTTAAAACTTCATTTTAAAAAAAGAAAGCGCATTTTAATATAACTTTCATAAAAATTGTGCAGTAATCAAGACAAGTAAGAAAATACGAAAAGCAGTAAAAAGGTCATTAACTAAGTAAGCTTCTGCACAGTACTACTTGATGCAAACATATGTAAACAAGGCCAGTAACGGTGATCAGACAATGCAAAAGAGATCAAACTTACATTGAAAATAAATCCTAAATGGTAATAGAGTGCAAACTTTTATTGTCATTTTCGAAATAATCAGGCAATTTCACACCATAATGGAACATTTTCATTACCGTGGGCTTTTGGTGTTTATACTACCAATTAACAGATTTTTCATTTTAAAAAAATTCCTTTTAAAGGTTTCACGTTTTCTGTGGCAGTAGCTAATGTATGTGTATATTATATAATATTCAAAATCAAAAAGTCAAGATCTTTGAAACTTCAGGAAATATTACTGCCAACATAATGTCATGTGTTGGTGAATAATAGATAACCACTCAAAAAAAAATAATTAGTAAACTGAATTCAAATTCCAATCTTATTTTTGATACAGTCGCTTTCACAAAAATACTCATGGAAATGTATAAATCCATCACTACTTCTCCAACTATGGATTAAATAAGATAGATTAGGCTCTTCAGTTGTAGAAGACAAACAACTCTAAATTCACAACCGTATATAGCCCTTGCCAAGTATATACTGTATAGTTAATGAAAGGATTGAGGCCTTTACAATTGCTCTATAATCCTGAGTGCAGGCATTTTATCAATCATGTTATTAAATAATTACTTACATGTAAATAATTCCTCATCATTAGTCAATCAGTAGTCACACATAAATGTTTTAACAGAGCATTTTGATCAGAAGACTACCTTGAAAAAGTGAAAATCTTGATTTTTATCTCAGAAACATTTTAATACCAAGGAGTAAACTGTTTACTATAATAATTATAGTAAACAAATATATAAAACATAGACCCCTGCCAAATTCACTGCTTGCATGTGATACTGTCAATTCTAATCTCATTGATTGCTTCTTTATTTTCTGATGAAGAGATTTGAGGAAAAACCAGTGTTAGCTCAATAGAGTGCAAAATATGACAGATCAAAAACAAAAAATAAATTTCTTCATTATAAACCTCTAAAACAGCTCTAAACAGCAAATAAAACTTTTTTTCTTAAGTTAAAAAAGAGAGAAAAAAAAATCAAAAATCTCTAGGCAATTATTCTTGGAAAATATTGAAGAAAAAATTATACCAGTCAGTCAATTCAGATTATAATTAAAAATATCAGATACATATTACATAGCATAGGTTGGTTTGAAAACTAAAGAGGGAAGAAGAAGAAAAAAAAAAAAAAAAAAAAAAAAAAAACACACTTTACTTCCTTAAAATTGTTCTTTAACCTGAATGTTTTTAAAGCTTAAAATCTGCCTGAAGCAACAAAAAGTGAAAACTTAAGATGATAGAGTCAAAAATTTCAACAAGGATCAGTTGTACTTTAATATTAATTTTTGCTCTAACACAATTTTAATGTTGCAGTCCAAACCCAGAAATAGAGAAAAAAAAATGAAAGGAAAAGAAAATAGAGTACAAGGAATCAGTCAGTCAAAAAGTGACATTAATTACAAATCATATGTGATCTTACAAAAGATGAAATTCAATTCCTTTTAGGCTGACCTAACAAGTAGATAATTCAAATAAAGAACCAATTTAAGGAAAGAAGTTGGGATGGGAAATGACAGACCATTTGAGCAAAACAAAAAAACTACATTGGAGAAAGAAGAAAAAGGTACCATTCCATCACAGATAAACAGATTTATATTAAGAGAACATCTGCTGAGCAATTAAATGAAATGATCAATTCTGCTTATAAACAGACAATATGCTCCAACATACAGAGATAAAAAGTGAACAAAGATTTACATGGTGAAATGGGGGTGGGGTGAATAGACAACTTCAACAGATTAAAAAGACGGTTACATCCTTTTTGCAATATTTTCTTCTTTCTTTCCTAATTCCAATCAGGTATTTTGAATTCAACATGAGAATGTGCAGATGACAATGCAGCTACATTTGTGGAGATGAAAGTAAAATGAAAGTAAAAAAAAAAAAAAAAAAACAAAAAACGGTCCTTCAGTTTATGAAAAAGAGTGAACACCCCCAGATAAAACATACAAATAAAACAATATACATAAGTGCCATGCACAATGACATCTGTTTTTTATTGTTTATTTTTTTTTATTCTTGAGAAAGGATGCTTTTCTTTTTCTATTTTTTTATTAGGAAAATTTTTTTGTTTTATTTTTTTTTTTTTATTTTTTTTTTTTTATTATTTAGAAAAAAATTTTTCAGACTATAAAAAAAAAAAAAAAAAAAAAAAAAAGGCTTTTAAGAGACTTTTTTTTAAATTGCAGTTGGGATCATTTTAATATTTTGATTACTTTTTTTTTTTTTATTTAAAGTTTTTCATAAAGGCTAAATAAATTTCTTCAATCCAATTCCACACTCCAGATTAAAAGTGCTGCCTGGATTACACATTTTTTTTTCTGGGGGAGGGAAACCAACAACACCAGCAAAGGTTAGTTCAACCACTTATCTTTTCTACTCTGCTCTCAAGAGAGAAGAGCCTACCTAACCCTTCACTCCTCAAAACATAAATAAATAAAATTTTAAAAAAAATTAAAAAAAAAAAAAAAATTAAATAAAAAGTCAACCTTCAGAGAAAGGTAGTGTTCCACTTGAGAGTAGGAAGATGTCAATTAGATGGGAGGAGGGTACAAATGAAACTGCTATGTAGGCTGCTATTACTGGCAGAGTTTTCAAACCACATGTATAAGGGTTGAAAGACATACAAAAATAAAGAGGTAGAGACCCAGGTGGGAAGACTCTGTGGGTGAAAAGTGCTCCCTTTGTGGAGAGTCTCTAACCATGCCAGAGCAGCAGCAAACACAGCAGCAAGGAACCGACAAAGTCCAAAGAGAAATCAAAAAATCACTTGTGTCACAACAGGAAGGCCGATGAGATAAAGATGCTAATTGTTTACAAAGAGTCAAGAAATAGAAAATAAAACTTTTTAAAAGTGAAACTAAATTTTAAAAAATAACAAATGAAAAGAAATTAATTAATTTGTGTTATTTTTTAAAAGATTTACTGTACAGGGGTGGGGGGGCATTTGGCAAAAGCTTTAAAGAAATTCTTCCTGAAGCAAAAGTATAAGGATATAAGTGTTTGCTGCTGCCATATAAGAAACACATGCGCAAATGTGTTGACTTTAATCAATGTCTCAGTAGAAAATGTGCTGAGAACTGACATTTTTTTTAGATCTAGTAACAAAGGAATTAAAAAAAATAAAAAATAAATTAAAACATTCAAATGATAAAGATTAGAGATTAGGCAAGGAGCATAAAAGTGAGAGTAGATTGAGCGGTGACGACTATATAGAAATTTCTTGACTTCTTCTAAACAAGAGGATCAAATTTGGTGCTGACCAATAAATACACACAACTTTCTGAAAACAGCCTTGGCTGCTCTGACACCTTAAAAACTCAGCACAGCATCTCACCAGCCAGCACAAGCAAACATTCCATCATCAGTCCTCAGCACTGGAATCCCCAGACAAAGGATTAGGGTCCCCAGTCACACTGCAGCGATGAAGAATTGCCTTTTCATAAGCTTTCCTCACTGCTTTGCGCACGTTTGGCTTCCTGTTTTCTGTCAGCTTTGCCTTGTCCAATCCAGAATCAACTCCCAGTGGTTCCAGTTTGTTTCTTGGTAACCATTGCCTACAATAAAAGACACATACACAAACTCATAACAGTCTTCTATTACCTTTTTTTTTTTCTTTTATGAGCATATATTTTGTTTACTGAAAGACTAAAATTATCAGAATCTTCTTAACAATAATAATAATAATGCACACATGAAACACAGGATGAATAGATGCAGACACACACATAATCACAACATATGTGAAATCATTAAGAGGCAAAAAAAATCAATGTCATTATTCTAAAATAGTAAACAAATAGCGACAAACAAATTTGCAGTTTCAAAATTACAGATCCTAAAAATGCCTGCAGAAAAATAAAACACTAGACTCTACAAAAATCATCAAACAACAGAGTTGGCTGTAATGCTGAGATTGTGTTTATAAATGGAAACAATTGTAGAAGAGCTCAAACTTAATGAAGCCATTTGGACAAATGAAACAGATTCATAAACTGGTTAAAGCAACGATGATCCTTATTCTTTACTGATGCAGTTAATTATATAAATAAAAATCTTGACACTTCAAGAGATTGACATGCTAATAAAAAAAATTAAAATAAAATAAACAAAATAAAAAAAGCTTGAGGTTTTATGATTTGGTGTCAGGTAGGAGTTCTATTGGTGCAGGATCATGTTTAATGTATTAAGAAAAAATTATGAAAATTGATCAACTAAAAATAAATTTTTAAAAAAATGAGAAAACATTACTGCTGTGTAAAAGAATTGCTAAATTTGGAGAACAGATTCAAACTGTCCTAGTCTCTCCAAGGGGAGACTGAATTTGTTTACCAAAGCAGAAGTTGGCTTCAAAGACATCTTATTTACCAAAGTAGACAAAAACAAAACAAAGGAAGAACATACCATGTTCGTTTAGTGTCAAAAAAGAGCACTAAATAGACTGGTTCATCGTATTTCTTTTGTAATGCCAAGACTTCATCAGGTGGGACAGGAATCGGCACACCATTGTGAAAGTATCCAGTTTTAGGCATTTTAGGATTTATAATCTGGAAGGCAGAATATGGAAAGTATTGAGAAAGTCTTTTATTGCAATTGTTTCATTCACTACAAATAATTGAGTAGTATAGTTCTATTTAAAACGAGTCTTATTTTCTAAACACTGAAGCTTGAAACATAAAATAATTGTATTCATTGAAGATGACTGAAAAATTCAAATTTCCTCTTGGTACAAGAGGATATGACAGCCTCACAAAGTAAGTGCAAGGCACAACCTTACACCTCTGCTATTCAAGCTCCTTTACTCTTTAATTGTATCAACTGTATTCCTTAATGGCATTAAATATCTTATAATCAAAGCTATAAATGTAATTACAAATGAAATACAGAAGTAATTAAATTCTAAAGAAACAAAACTATTTTATATATTGACTAGCAATATTTAACAATTACAATAAGTCAGAGTAATAAAGAAGCAATAACATTTTAGTTACTGCTTCATTCTGCTATTGTAATTTTTTTTTTTAAGAGATTTGCTCATTAGAGCTACTTGCTTAAATTGGATAATGGGATAAAGACAATCCCAGATGCAACTCAAATGTAGCACTATTCACTTCTGTTCATTTCTGCTTCTCTGTAGGATGAAACCAATAAAAAGTGAATGACAATAATAGCTCCAGCTACAGACAGGTTTTGCATTAAACATGTGAATTAAATTCATTCCTCTTGATCTACAATTAAAAGGCTTTTAAATACCACAGACAAAAAGTAAAAAATCTTCAGTTAAACTCACTTTGATAAGACATTCAATAGTATTACTACATTGAAGATTTCCAGTGTATAAGATTGGAGGTGAAGTCAGGCTTGGGTATTGAATTTTGAAAAGGCTAGCTAAAAGACCCATGCCCCATAAACTGGTCTTAGCCTCCTTGAGTAGAGCCCACAACTTTATATGTAGGTTGAGCACTTTCCATTCAGTAAAAGAACAAAACAATTTATCTTGGTTGGAAGAAATATTCTCCTGAAATATCTTTTTTATGATGATCACAATTTTCATTGAGTTTTTCTCAAATACATTGAAATACTCATCTTAATGCATTAAGCTTTTTTGATAAGCCTGCTCAAAACCAACCTTTCTAATAATAATTATCATTCCAAATCATTTCCATTAAATTTAAATACAACAGAATAATTTTGCAATAAGATATTTCATAGAATCCAATAAGTAACTGATTTAGTACAAACTAGAATAGAATGCTCATTGACAAAACACTGTCACAATGAAACAAAATTATTGTGAGCTTTTAGCACAAGGCAAAACAGTAAATGAATTCATATTGGATAATTGATGATTTCTTCTTTTTTACCAATAAAAATGACATGAAGAAACAGTGCAAAAGTTGCTTCATATATATGCGTATATTATATAAAAATGTTTTTGTTATATTAGGAGTACAGTATGAAGTCTTTTTTTTTGTGAACAAAGTAGGTAGGAAACAGCAGGAGTAGGCTGAAAATCTGATCAAAATATTTAAAAAAACTTAATGAAAGAGAAAGATTCACATAAGAAATTAGAAGCAAACAATGATTTCAATACAAAACATACACACACACACATAAAAAAAATGAATTCTCAATTAGAAAGACTTGGGGGTTAAGACTGATGGTAAATTTTAAGGTGGGGAATCTGAGGTATAAGCATACAAGAGTGTTAGATGAGAACCATATGTCTAGGGTATGTGAAAGAGGAAGAGAGGGCAGGATTGTTGTAATGGTGTTTACTGTAATGACTTACCAGTGCTGGATACCAAGGATAGCCTCGACATTTGGCCCAGACCAGATCCAGGGGCTCCAACGGAATGATATCATCAGAATCACAACTTGTACTTCGGCGGGCACGTGCTAGGGAAACAAAACAAGACATATAAGGAAACACCTGTACAAAAGTGGCTGCCATGAGCTGATGGTGAAAAGGAGAAACCAGCTGAACAAAACATTGGGAGGGGAGAAGTGAAAGATTTATAGACATGGGGGGGGGAAAGATATCCAAGGTCAATGACTGCAACTCAGGCATAAAACCATTTAAACAGCAGAGCTTATTATTTCAAGAAAATAAATCATGGAAAAGAATTTTTTTTCTTAAATGTACACCCACCTAGGTAATGTTGCTAATTTCCTCATGGCAACATTAAAAACAGAAGAAAATGAATAAATAATAAAAATTTTAGCTAAAATATCCATGCTCAGTTATAAAAGAATCTATAATTAAGAACTTGATATCAGAATACACAAGTATGCTCTCTCTCTCATTTGTACCTCTTGTCAGTTTTTTCCTATGCTTCTCCTCTTACACAAATTAAACAAGTTTGTCAATATTTACACTGGTGTTTCCAAATAGAAATATTTCCATATATTGTCAATATTTTAGTCTTCCCATGCCCAACAAATATTATACAAATACATGTCTAAGCTCAGAGGGTTTGTCTACAAAAATGCTAAAATTCAACAACAAAGGTCAGCTAACAAATTATTCAGGATAACACAAGACAATTTTATGATATTCAGCAGCATTTTTAATGCAGTAAATAAATTATTAAAAAAAGTTCTCACACTGACTAAAGTATAAATTATAAAGAAAAGTTTTCTAAAGTTAGAGCCAAATTGAGGCCACTTATTAGCAGTTTGCATGCAAGAAATTCATAACTTTTGTTTATCAAATTAATTTCACCAGTGTTGAAATTTTGAGCAGTAAAGGGTTTTTTTTTCATATAGTTATCAAGTTATTTATCAAAACAAATCATGACATAACTATCACCTTTTTCAACTAAAAAAAAAAAAAAAAAAAAAAAAACAAGTGGGACATTGGAGAATTTATTCTTCTACAACACAAATTAATAAATGTTCTAATTAGAAATTAAGATGAAAGGCCTTATGCAATATATCTCACCATCTGAGGTTAACATCTTTGAAACATTTTTATATTTTCCTATAGTTTAAGTATATTATGTTCAGTGCCAATGAGTCAAAAAACAAAACAGAATTATTTTAATGGAAAAAATTATAAGCTTATTTGATAAAATATGCTTGATTTTCAAATAGACAAGCTGATTGGAATTTGTTATTTTAAAAAATAATCTTTAGTAATAAAACACTTTGCCATAGGATGCTGAAGGGGAAGGAAGTTCCCTGACTATTTAACAAAAAGAGTAATTGAAATAAGGATGTTTCATGTAGGTTTTTCTCTAAAAAAGAATAATCATCCAGACCCATCTATTTGAAACTCAAAGATGAGTAAAACAATATTACAAAGATTAATTCTAGATTATTTCATGGTACATTAAATACTTGTCTCAAATATCAGTTTTAACTGCAAATGACAATACTATCTTCTCTTAATAGAATAAATATGAAGTGAAACTAAACTCATGCTTCAAGTCTACTAAAGATATTGATTTCTGACTAAAAAGAAAAATATGATAAACACTTTTATATAGATTAGATATTCAAACTGAACCTTTGAAAATCAATGAGGAAGATACAAGTACTAAGTAAAGTCAAGTGAAAATGGCAAGGAATCTAAAGTAGTAAAAAGAAATCTTTGATATTCACACAGCACAAGGAAAATTATGTTAGTCTTTTGAATATCAAATTACCAAACAATAAATAAACAGTTTACAAGTAAACTGCCCAATAGAATAGAGTGTATTAACTACAATAAATAAAAATTATTTCATGTTTGCTTGAATAAAACAATTCTTGTTTTTGATATTAACTATGACCTTATCTGCTCTCATAGACTTAACATTTGAGTACCAGTTTTGCTTCCTACCTAAAATTCTTGCCTAAAAACCCCAAAACATTTTTCAAAACTTTACCAGTCAGAATCTAGCCAGTTCAGCAATTTACAGCCAAAATTATTTCAAACACTGACATAAAATATTTATGCAAGTGATTAGTGGGCAACTGAATGCCACTCATTCTAGTAGATACCTCCAGCTCTCTCAAGCTGAAAGAGGCCAAGGCATATTACTAAGATTTCATTACAAAACCACAACAGGGTTTGAGGTTCAACAACATGAAGTGGGTAGGTCATAGTGAAGGTTCAATAGCAAACTATAGCTTAAAGTAGGTAAGAACAATTTAGATTATACCAACTAAAGAGATCTTGTTCTACTTTACAGCTGAGAAATAGTAAAATTAATACTATTAAAAGTAATACAACCTTCTACTACATTGATCTCTCTCAAAAAAAAAAGAAAAAAAAAGAAAAAAGAGGCACATTTATTATTAAAAAATTAATGATATTAGGGCCTACTATAATACAATGCTTAATAAAATTATCTAGCAAACTAATTAACTAATGTAGTATGTTTGATTTTACTGGTGTCCCATTAATTTGACCATGTGTTAACCTAAGCTAAACTTCATAGATAACTTTACAATGATTAGCAAGATCATTTTGCAATACTAATTTGCTCGTGTAAGGAATTCAGTTGTCACTAATGCCCCAATAGATTGGCCTTGTCAAACTAAGCTAAGTAAATACTGATAATTATCTGAAAAGGTGCCTTGTTGTGGAGCAATTGTTAGTAAACTAGTACTAACTAAAGTGAATTCAATCTTCACTGGGTGCCCCAAACTTGTGACCTTGAGCCAAATGAGGTTAAGCTTAATAAATATCAACAAGTTAATCAAAATAATATAACACCTAAAATCTATGGCAAGATAATATTCAGAAATTAATGTTGATGTAATATTTCTAGTAGAAATAGATTTCTCAAACAGTAAGGATCATATTTTTTACCAAAAGGGGTATGGTGAAAGTTTTACTAAGTCTAGATACTTGTTGCTAAGCTCAAAATTGCAGCAGAGGTGAGATAGATTCCACATTCATTATTACAACCTCTGGTAGATTCACAAAAACTAAGTAAGATTCTAAGACAACATGTACAAAATGAAAACAGGTAAAATATAGCAGTATTGAAATAAATGAACACTAATAGTTGAGCTAATTTTGTTTGTTCAGGGTAAAGAATATTACATATTTAAATAGTAATTTATCTGTTTACATTTAAGTTTACATATTGCTTACATGGCAAGGCATTTATACAACTCAACCGTTATTCAGATATATTTATCAAAATTAAAAAAAAAAAAAACAATTTGCTAACTGCTTATCAAAGAAACAGTTCAAGAATGTGGCACAACAGTCAGTGAATAAATGGGCCACAGCAACATGGCCTTCAGTTGCAAATTCACATTTCAAACATATTACAAATGTGCAGACAGAATGGTTGACAAAAGAAATGATGAAAGACAGCTCAATAAAGATGTAAGAAAAATAATAAGTAAAATGAATTTTAAATGAAGGATGGAAACAAAAGTTTAATTTTCGTAACAGCAATAGAATGAATGCCTAATCCAAAATTGTTATTGTTTACACCTTTTGATTCGAATGACAACTAAATATACACTATTTAAAAAATGAAACATACAGTTTATTAATTTTCTATCCAAGTCACTTTCAATGAACTAATTGGCAGGTGAAGCACAATCAATATAGAAAAGTACCTGTAAAATGATGAATAACTAATTTCATTATTTCTATTATCAATATCAATACACATAAAAAAAAGGACAAAGTTTAGGATATTCTGTATATTTGGAGTAACAGAAGATCAATTGAAAAAAAAAATGATTATCTTAAAGATGGAAAATGAATATTTGTTGAAATAAGAACATTGAATACATCTTGAATACTCAAGCAGTTTGAGTATTCATAACTGGGACAGATTTCTCAAAGTTCCAAGTTGATATAGAAAATATAAAACAGTTTTAAATGCTACCAAATTACAAATTCATAAAAATCCGTGGAGCAGGAAAATAATGATGATTATAAATATTTGTAATATTTTAAGAATTCTTAATTAAGTATTTCTTTATCAATCCATATGCTGAATTACTCAGAGATTGGGCAAAATAAAAAGAAGAGGTTGTCTTCAATTCTGTACATATAGTTTAACCTAAGGAGGAAACATAAGTTAAAGAGTGAAAGTGAATTTTGTTTTTCTTAAATGAATGAGAGAGTAAATTGAGCTTACTGGTTGTAATGAAGAATTTCAGAAAAGACTGAAACCTGTGTTTATTTAGATATCAAAATCATCTGGTCATAAGAAATGGTATAATCAAAGAAATAAAAAAGAAAACAGCCATAAAAGATTAGAGATAAAGAACTCAAGAGTTGAGAGTTCAGACAGCAAAAACTGAGCAAGTGAAGAAAGTTTATTGCTGGTGCCCCAAATAAACCATTCTGCTAGAATTGACAGATGGATAAAAAAAAAGTCAAAGAGAAAAATAAATATTTTTCAATTTTGAGTAATCATACACCTGCAATTCTTTAAATAATTAGTAATAACAAGTATAAAATGATGAATGTAGTTCAACAATTGTCAAATTGAAGACAGAAATATAAAAAAATGCAAGGCATTTGTTATATAAAAAAAAAAAAAAGAAGATTGGTTGAGAGGACAAGAGAAATGGCATAAAATTGGCTTCATTATTGATTAGAATTGGAAAACAAAAATGAAGTAGCAAATGTTATGAAGAAGATATAACTGCTCACTTTCTGGGGCACTGGATTAAAAACAAATTACAGAATTTGAAAGAAAAATGATTTAGGTGTGAATAACAGATTAGAATCAGCAATGGAAAAGTTATGCCACAAACACACATGAAGGTAGAGGAATCCAAGCTCAAAATAACAATGAGGTAATAAAATTAATACTAAAATTGCAACAAATTGATTTTTTTTATTTTTTGCAAGCATCTAAATAACAAACAAGGTCAAATTCACTAAAGATATTAAAATGTCTTCTCATCATAGCCTGTTTATATTTTGATAAATCAGGAGTTGCTGAAAAATTCTTAACCTGTCACACTTCACAAAATCTGACAAAAATGAATAAACAACAGAAACATTTTTCAAAGTGTTTCTTGATCAGGCCAAATTTTTTCTGCACCCACCACCTTTTCAAAAACAATAGCAATCAAGTAATCCAATTCCTAAACAGTAATTCAAGAGGAAACATTTTCTCTGTGAATTTGAAAAAGAGATTGTATATTTACTGGAAAAGCAAAATCAATGTAAAGGATTAATAAAAGAGCTTCCACAGAACAATAAAAAAAATCATGTGAAAAGGTTATGTTGTGGCTGAGTGATATATTTGTATACAAAGGCACAAAATATCAACAATTTCATAAATTCTGACAATTACTAAATATTGTAATTGGAAAATAAATGGTATTTAAATACAAGATATTTTGTATACAGAGAAGGATACCTACTTGAAAAATAATTAATACCAGTATATCAAATAGATATGATTAAATTGTAGAAGCTGAAGAACCAAAATTAGGCTTATGAAGCCAAAAAGAAATGGGAAAATCTTACAAGGGAGTGCTAAAAGCTATTGGCCCAATAACCCTTCAGCACTGCTTTATATATCAATATTTCAAACAGTAGCAATCAAATACCATATTTGCCCAATTATGTTTTTATTAAATGAGATCCTGAAGCTTTTGGAAATCACACAATGTAGTTTAAGAGAAGTCATATACAGGCCCAAAAACACAAATCAACTAGTGAACATATACAAGATTTTCACAATAAAAATCCTACTGCATTTATCAAAAATTAAAAGAATTTTTCACAACACAGTATCTCCTAAGGATGCATTGCAGTGGGTTAATTATCAGTGTCTATTATTACTGTGTAGTGAATCTGATTCTCACTGGTTGCACCTATGCTTGTGACCTAGTACCAAAACTAAACTCAATAAATAAAACACAGAATCTTTTAAAATATATCCATATTTTGAAAGTGGAAAGAGAAAGCCAGTAAAAAAAAAAACAATGTCAAATGTCCATACAGTACAAAAGTTTTAAAGAGAAATTATTTTTCTATGGTAGATTATTTAGGATTACATGGGCAAAAGATTGATAAGAGATGATAGCTGTATGATCTAACAAAGATAAACAAGACTGAAAACATACAATTATTTTAGAGACGTACAATAAATATTCACATAAAATATTAGATTCACGTAAACAAATATACAAACAGGTGTGTGTGTGTGTGTGTGTGTGTGTATATATAAGTAAAAAGACAATAGATCATATTGCTCTACCTGCTCTACTGTGGCTACTTGAGTGTCCACTAGAAGTGTCAGATAAGGACTCATCCCCACTGCTGATGTCAGAAGTACTGTCTGATTCAGAAAAACTATTGGTAGGATCAATTCTATACTGAGTGAAACTGTTGGTCGGTTGAATATTAGCTGCTGCCTCAGCAGAATTGCTGATGTTGGAAATGGCCACTTCAGGAGGGGGAGGAACAGCGCCTCGTTTTGGTGGTGGAGGCTGCAAGTCACGGTCACTTACACTGGCTACACTTGTAGCACTGGCCGCACGCTTGCGGCCACCAGTCGTGCTTACTGGACTAGCGACTGCACTACCAATGGCTCCTGCTCCACCACTTACTCCGACACTCCCACTTCTACCTGCACTGCCTCCCCCACTGCCACTTCGACCTCCACTGCTGCCTCCACTTCCAGTGCTACTAGCACTACTTCCACCGTTTTTGCTGGTCTCTGGAAATGCCTGACCACTGCTAGCATCTTGCAGGTCAACCTGATTTTTAAGACGGGGAGGACGCCCTTTGCGTTGCGAAACATTTGCTGTAGTTGGAGTCATTGTTTTGTTTAGCTTCTTGGTAAAAAGAACAGCTGTCCTTCGATTAACACCTGAGGGAAGAGAAGGTGGCGGTGTTGGGGGAGGTTGTGGGGCAGGAGTTGGTGTGTTTTTTTCCGGAGTCTGTGGAGATGCAACAGCAGCTTGGGGTGCATCATTATTATTCTTAGTGTCACCACCTGCAAAATACAAAAACAGAACAGAATGTAATTAAGGCAACACCATTTATTTTCTTGGTTTATGGGCTATATGAACACTTCAGGGCCACAAAAATCATAATATGCATATGTATGCCTTTAGGTGTGCATGTGTGTGCGCATATAATACAGATACAACTACCTGAATGATAAGAGGAGTTTTAACATTAATGAATGCTCAAAGACTTTATCCGGAAAAAAATAATATAAATTAAAAGATATTAAATTTATTCTTAAAGATAGACAAAGAAAAATGATTTGAAGACACTTCAACATCTGTTATGTTCTGGTTTATCAAAACTTTCTTGCAAAAGAAATGACAAAAAGGGCAAAAAGAAGACTTCATCACTAAAGCCAATTCATTCCTTAAGACATGATAAAAAGTTTAATAAACTAAAATTAGTACTCAAAACAATCAAATAACTATGATTATATTAAACAGGATTATCCTTAAAATATTTTCCATAAAAGGCTGAGAAACTAGTTGCCATTTCCAAGTTCTTGATATGACCTAATGATGAAAAACAATGTACAAGATAGGACAGTGAAAAACTGACCAGGTTAAAAGGCTTCTGGTGAAGAAGTCGTGATTAAAATAAATAGCCCGTAAACCAAGAAAAGACAATGGAGTGACCTAAACAGGAAAATATTAAGTTTTTGACCATAGCAGAAACACCAAAGCCTACATATGAATCCAAGCTGCTGTGTCCAATCAGTGGTCAGTGCTGAACTAACAAAAAACAAGGATATTTTTTAAAAAAATTAAAAATGAATAAAAAGCAACTTTTGTTGACTATACAAGTTAGTTTCTGGCAGACATTCACATATTACTAATGGAAAGCCTAATTTAAAGTCTGAGACAGCCAAGTGGGCCACTGTCATCTGACTAGTTGGGAAAATAAAAACATTGAAGAATGGAAAAGGGAAAGAGAGGAAGAAGAACTGAAGAAAGAAAGATTCTAAAAAGAGAAGAGATGAAAAGGAAAGGGTAAGGAAAAAGTAAAGATTTGTTGCAAGAAGAGAAGAGTACATTATAGAATTGCTGAGAGTGCAGAAGAAAAAGAAGGTAAAGAAAGATCCTAAGTAAGGTTCATAAGCTTAAAAAAAAAATTTTAAAAAAAAGGCTTGGGAGAAGAAAAAAAATCTCAGAGGTGGGATAAATGAAAAAAATCCAGTAGGAGTAAGCAACTGGGGAAAGGTCCCTGAAGAGAAGAGATGAAAATAACAAAAAGTGGAAGGAATGTCACTTTAAGTGGAGGAGAAGAGGACAAAAAGGGAGGGGGGGAAAAAGGAATAAAAACACAACAAAGAGGCAGAAAGGTTATGACATTTCGAACTTTCTTTAGAAAAGACCATGAAACCTCAAGGAAACAACAGACAGCACAAAGATCATCCCTGTAAAACATGGTATCAGATAAATCTAATTTTCCATTAATTTCCTCAAAATAGTGTTTTTTAATGCACAATAAAGTTATAACAGTCTAAAAGAAAAGGATCTAGTATCATTTGACTAGTGAAAGACACACCAATACTTCCTACTAAACTTGTTTAAGATATCTTTTAAACATTTACTAATGAACTCACTTTTCCACTAGTAATACCATATCAGCTTTTTACACTTAAAATTCATATTTTTAACTTGTCTTGTACAAAGTGTTAGTTCTTAGAAAGAAGCTAACATTATAAGAAAACAAGAGCCATACAAAATACTGGGCATGTCTTTAAATAATATTGTCTGGGTGATCAGTCACAAATATTGGCTGTTTGGCAGGAAGCAAAAGTAAACTGTCACAAAGAATGAAATCACATAAGTTTTGATTCAAAAAATTCACTACTTTCACCCAAATTTGCTTCATATGGAACCATTTTAATATTTATGTTGATGATGATATAAAATAGTTAATTCTTTTGAGTCTGCTATATTAATGATAGCAATGAGACTCTTAATAGAAATAATAATAACAGTCATAGAATGTAAAATAAAAATGAAGGCTTGGAGAAGTTTAACTGAAAACTGATTCTAGGAGTTAGGGTGGTTGCTACATAGGTAAGGAAAAATGGTTTCATTGACACCCACAGTTATCAACCATAACTGCTAAAACTATAAATTGAAGCAATTCAGGTTAGGAACAAAATCCATCCGAAACAAGAATTAAATCAACACAAGTGGCCTACATAGCACAAGTTCTCCATTTTTTTTATTTTTTTTTATTTTTTAAATCAAACTAAAGTAAAATTTTTAAAAAATATTTAAATTCAATTTTACTAAAACTAATTTTGAAATTCACTACTCAACCCACATCAAGTTACTCTAGAGAACAGGCATAATCATAAACAATTGCAAAGATCCAGGGGATATATCAGCTGTAAATCTTTATTTCAGTTTAAGCTGTAATATGGAGAGAGAGAGAGACACACACACACACAGAGGTGGGTAGGAAACATTGAAGTGTATGGAAGTAGTAAAAAAAAAAAACTTGAATATGACAAAAAAATAAAGAAATGGAAAGTTATATTTTCTACTTATTTATGGTAAGTAGAAAGAGTTAGTGACAGCAAAGAAAATATTTTTGAAAAAGATTTGAAAAAGAAATAAAGAAGTAGCTGTGATAACATTTTTGCATCTACATTTAAACAGTAATCAAATTATCAATGCAAATGGTTAGGCATGAAAACTAGTTAAATACACAACAAAGTTAAAAATGAATAAGAAACTAACAAAATGCCTAATATAATAAAAGAACATTATAAGAACTTTCCCATCATAGGCTAGTAATAACTGTAAATAACCATTTTAAGGGAATTTATATTTGAAAAGTTAATTTCTTGTTTACAAAACCACAGACAAAAATATACAGGTTTAAGATATCTCAAAGTAAAATAGTAATCTTTGTGTATAAATACAAAACAATTTCCATCAAGATGAAAAATTGTACAAACAAGACAGGAAGTAAAGGATGAAATGTACAATCTCCTTTAAAAACTTATTTACTGACATGGAGCAAAGTAATAAAACTAAAATTGGGAGAAGAGTTACTAAACTGGCCATATATCAAGCAGGAGTGGGGAACCTGTACAGCTTTCACAAACAGTCTAACTTATAATAGCTTCAAGATAATTGTGATAATACTATCAGTTAACAAAACATACCAATCATTGTGAAGCAAGTGTCTTTCTCATCAAAACAATTCACATACAATAAAAATCAATAAATTTATTTAATATAATCTCTTGCAAATTGTTGATAACATATCAGCAGGCAAGATAAGTAGATTTTAGAAATCTGAATAAAAATATTTTTCAAAGTCAATATTAACATTAGTTTAATGATTTGTTACACACAATCATAAAATAGTGGCTTCTATTATGAAAGACACATGTAACAAAAATATATACATAATGACATCTAAGACAATCTCCAAGTTCTACACATGTCAAAAAGTGAACAAAAACTAACTCAACATCTACAGAGGTGCAACTAAGCTAAAGAAACATGAGACAACATCAGTGTGGCTAGCTCATCATACAATGTAAAAATGCATAAACAAGACAATATTAGTGAAATGGAGTGGCAAACTGTTGCAAAAAAAATTTGAAACAAAAAAAAAAAAATAAAAAAAAATCTCAGTTTTTTTCTTTTAGTAGAAAGTACAAAGTGATATCAAATTTGCACAAGAGTGAGGATGGAGGATTTAGGGAGATTAAGGGATATTTAGCTGCAGAAACACTTGCATAGTGAAACCTTGAAAAGAAAAAAAAAAGGAACAATACTAAACATGATCACACAAGCTTTATTTCATGGACTCATACAAGGATTTGAAATAAAGTCAGGAAAGAAGAAAAATACACAAGAACAATTTTTTTTTCTTGTTTTCCTCTCTCCTTTTGTATTTTGAGCTCTTTTTTTTTGTTTACTTTTTCTTTTTCCCCAAGTATAATAAGTCTTTGAAAACAGGTAGCAATTTTTTTTTTGTTTCAGGGAGGTAGGTAGGTAGGTAGGTAGGACTGTAGATATCTCCCTGGACTCTTCCCTGGCTTGAAGGCAGGCAGGCAAACATACAGTGGAAGGAACAAACTGTATTAGCACTTGTGAACACTTATTCTACGATGAGAAGCTGCATATTTACCTAGCTCCCGTCGTGAAGAGCCTACGTCAGGTTCTGATTCACTACGACTGCTATTTGCCCGTAACCGACCACGGCCACGGCCCCGACGACCAGCTGTTGATTTAGTTGCTTTCAACTGAGGTGATGTGCTTTTTTCTGATGCTGATGTTGTTGCTGCCAATATCGTAGTTGGTGAAGCTGTCACTGCTGACTTGGCCACAGGTGGTGAGGTGGGTTTTGAAGAGGGTGGAACAGATGATGATGTAATGGATGCTGAGTTGTCAGATGACCGAAGGACTGGCTGAGATACAGGCTTTACAGGTGATAGAGGACCACTGTCTGAACCAGCTGAAACACCTTCAGAAGCTGAAAATATAATTTTTTTTTAAATAAAGAAATTCAGGATTAGTTAAGTGGGGGGGTTATTTTTAGCATTTTATTTTTCTTAACTATCATATATAATTCTTCCCGACCTCACTGTAAAATAAATTGTTACTTATACAAAAGGTTAAGACTACAAATTAATTTACTGGTTTTCAATTGCACAGATATTTGATTTTCACAAGGTCAGTGGGAAAGACTAAAATAAGGATAAAGGTCCTTCAGAAAAGACAATGAGGTAGAGAGAAATAAATAGTTAAATGTAAATAAGAGCTGAAAATTAATAAAAATTTTCAATGTTACAATAACCCTTTAAGCTTGGTGTTGGAGAAGAAAAAAAAACTAATATAAAACAATTTTAGCCAAAAAACATTCAATTTTATAAGTTTTAAACATTTTAAAAGACATATCTTGTGAAAATAATGTCAAAAAGACAACACACATTAAAAATAAATAATAGTATTTCTTATGATTTATATGGTCATATGATTTTCCATTCATTTTAAAATGTTCCGTTTTGAATTAAGTTTTGGGCAAACTAATATATACAATAAAATTAATGAGGCTCAAATTCAGGGCTCTAAACTTTTTTTCTCAAATGCCTAGAAACCCCGCCCCACAAATTTTAAACCATCCTAAAGTAATTTTTTTTTTTTTTAACTTTTTCATTTATAGTTGTCAGTAGTATAAGAACAGCATTAAAATGTTTAAGAACTAAATATTTATTTTGATCTCTTCAATTCACGCAAGTACTACAGGTTTTAAGAAAAATTTAATAAAGCTAAAACATTCATGTAAAGATGAATAAATACAAAAACAAACTAGTTAAATTTTACAGTAATTTTTATAAAAGCCACAACTATTTTATTTAAATATTTTGGTTAAATCACCTTGAATAATTTTACATGGAAATGCTCTGAATAACTTACCAGACTTTAAGAATTGTGTTCTATGCTTTCATTTCTATATGAAAAATTTAATGCATTCCAACTATTCTCAATAAGTTTATAAAGATTTTATCAAAATATCTTCATTTACAATTACCTTCTTCATGTTATGACTTAATTTTCCATGTTTATCAGTTTTTAAATTCACTCTTGTATTTTCAATTTAGTTTAAGATAGCCAGAAAACTTAACATATAATAAATGCTGTTTGTTAATGGTTCTATTCAAGTCTTAACCAAAAATTGACAGAAGTAAACAATTTCCTTACTTTGGTTATTAAAGCAACATTAGTTCTTAGAAATTAAATAATATAAATATCTAAATTTATGTTCATTTAGGATTCATTTACCAACTTAAAAAGAAGTGCTAAAGTTTTGTTTAGGCGTGTATGCATGCATGCTCCATTTATTAAAAGCTCATAACTATTGGTGAGGAGTATTTTTTTTTTTTAAATAAATTAGTTGCTTTTTAGAATAAATATAATAAAATTTTAATTAAAAACATTTTATTATCCTTATATAAAGGGTTCAGTTCGAAATTCCAACCACCTGAAGAAGGCCGGAGCGTACAACGGCCGAAACGTTGTGACAAATATGGCGACAAAGATGAGGACAATAGTCCGACTAATGTAATTATGATTTCAGTCAAATTTTCACAATGTTAAAAAAAATTCAAATACTTTGATAAACAGGCTGAATACAAATTCTAGAGATCTGCAATTAAAAGTCAAATGCTTCTATTCTTAAATACAGAAAATAAAAACGATTTTACAAAATGGCCCATATTTTATAAGAGCATCTTATTTGTTCCATCTTTGTTGAACATTAACATTCTAAATGTATGCAAAACTAGGTGAACAAATTATGGAGACTTTGTAAGAGGCAGACACAGGATCATATATACAGAAAGAAAAATTAAAAAGGAGTAGAACTTCTACAAAACCAATGCATAAAGAAATGTGTTTTGTAATACTGTTAACTGACAGAATTCTTTTAGATAAGCTGAAAAGAAGAACATTTAATATGCATTATTGTAGTGTACACACCAATGACACAAAGTACAAAAAAAATTATGAGTTTTATAGCACACTAGATAACACCAAAATGCTATACAAATTGCAGAAAATTGTCATCATTAAGAGAGACCTAAATGCAAGGAGCAAGTTCGCAAGTATCCTAAGATCATGTAACAAGTGCAGAAGAAATTGGCTCCAATGGTGCACAGCAAACAACCAAATAATAACACATGGTTTCAAGAGCACTTAAGACACTTGTGGACATGGAAAAGAAGGAGATATGAACAACCAAACTGAATACATAAAAATCAATAAAAGATTCAGCAATATAGTTCCTACACTGTAAAACTTATCCAGGTGGCAACTGTGAGAGCAACTACCTTCCAGTCACATACAAACTCAGACTAAAATTACATAAATTAAAGAAAACCAAAGCAATGCTTAAACTACAATATGACAGGCTCCTGACTGACTCAACTTGCAAAGAGATGTATGCTGACAGATAAAAGAAAAAAATATAAGAGTAATTGGCAGAAATGTACAACAAACAGAATTAACAAAGTTCCCAATAAAAAATAACAAAAAGATAAGAAAAGAACAGGGTAAAAATAATACAAAGCAAATATATATATATATATATATATATATATGGCTATTTTTGTAGTGATTTTATAACATGTTTATGTTATAATTTTCGAATAAATAATTATATTTCCTCTACTCTGTATTGAGCACACTTTTAAGAATAGTATTTGTTGATTATTGAAATTTATTCCGTATACACCAATCCTATACTTGGGGATATATATTATATATATATATATATATTATATATGTGTGTGTGCAAGACAAAAATAGGCAAAGCAACAGTAATAAGACAAAGTAATAATGGCGTTAACGCACAAAAGGGGTACAAAAAAATGATCGCAGCATTCTGACTTCAAGACAAGAATGAACAAAAATATGGTGAAGGAGACCTAGAAGTGGTCTATATGATTGGCTAGGAGGAAATCCCAGCATGCATCTGTACAATTTGTTTCTAAATTTGGGGAGTGGAGTGTTTTTGTGGTCATTCTAACTAAGATTGGAACCAACAAATGGTACTGGTAACTGTGGAACACATTAAGAGGAGCTCTATTGACATAAGTGAACAAGCTTATCATAAGGAAAACATGAGAAAAAAAAAAAACAAAAAAAAAAACGTGGATGACAGCTGAAATTCTTAAAATCATGAAAAAGAGACCGTGATGGTAAAAAATATAGGAAATTAAACACAAACAATAATAATAAATGCAGGCAAGCAAAGATGAATGAATTGTTTAATGAAAAGTGTGTTGAGATAGAAAGAATAGGTAGCATCAAAACAGCAAGTATGCATAAAAGACATGCACCTCAACAGGATGTGCATAAAATCTAAAATAGGAACAATCATTTACAATACCTCTTTAATAAACTGCACATCTTTTTTGTTTTGTTTTTTTTTTTGTCATATTTTTGCCCTTCTTTAAAACCATACAATATGCCAAAAATGTAACTGATTTTTGTTCAATGTTAGAATCAATAAACAAAAAGGCATCCATTTGTCAATTGATTTGTTTTTTTAAACACTGCTATAGATGAAGTTAGACTTAAACATTCTTAATGCTATCTAATGACAAATACATTTTTCTACCTATATGATATTAGTATTCAGCCTAAGAATACAAAACAGTGGACTGCAGATTTGCAATACAATTATGTTGTAACTCCAAATCAAAAAAGAAGACATGTAAGAAAAGATTAACAATAACACTTACATGTCTCCACACTTGGCATTGGTTCTTCATTTTCACTGGCATAGTAATTTCTCTGCAGTGCTAATTTCCGACGTACCTTAATGATTTCTTTTTTTATTCTTTTAGCCAATTTAGAACGTTTGCCTGGAGAAAGAAAACAAAAACTCAGACATGTGAAATTTTTGGTACATGAAAATGTTAGGACATAAAAACAGAAAACATTCGTACATTTTCAGGTTTTGTTAGAGTAAATTCATTTTTCTCAGATAAGAAAGATGCTACTATCATAAGCAGATAAAAGCCTCTTGATTTTGGACCAGGAAAAAATGTATCATAGACAAACCATAAAGAAGAATGAAAACTCATTCAAAATGATCAATATTTGAACAGAAATAGAAAAATTTAAGACTAAGTTCAAGAAAAATAGCAAAGGCAAACAGAAATATTTCTATTAACAACCACCAAGCAATCATATACTTCACCCCACTTAAATCTGTCTTGCAATATTTACTGTTTTCTATATTAATTACAAAAATGTTCAAGAATTCATTATCCAACAAAAAAAAGCAAACAAACATAAAAAACAATTTTCTATCCTTCAAAAACAAAAACTTTTTTACAGCTATCACAACACATCCAAGTATTCATGTAATACTTGCCCAATAATCACAAAAGTAATTGAAAAAACTCTACTTTAGCAAGTTTATATCTATAAATAACTTTAATGATTTCAATGATTTTTCAATACTCACTCATTTATAAAATATGCAATAAAATGTTGCAAAATGATCACTTATAAACTTTACTTCTACATCAAGAACCTAAAATATTTTGACTTGGATTTTTCAATTAATTGCTAAATGCTATGGATTTGGTTTTCAATGCTATTGAATAACATCTTTTACACCCAGCTATGCAGAAATGAATATCAAATAGAAAGGATTACATGAAAGTTGCCAAATTTAAAGAATTGGACAAATACAAAAAAAAAAAAAAAATTATTTACACTAATTACATTGTTTGAAATGTTGTCCTCATCTTTGTTGCCATATTCACAACGTTTTTGGCCATTGTACACTCCAGCCTTCTTCAGGTGATTGACATTTCAAACTGAACCCTTTATTTCATCCATGGGTGGGGGGGGTGTTGAATTTGTAGATTGTTCTTGTTCCACATGCCATGCCTCTTCCAGATGTCTCAGTTATCTCCCTTTAACTCAATTCTCCAAGTTTTTGTTCACCACTACAGTAGCTAGCTACTGAACTCACACCTCTTTGGATCCAACCAACACTTATCTACTGTGCCATGTGTCCTTGAGGGTTCAGTTCAAAATTCCAATCACCTGAAGAAGGCCAGAAATGTCATGAATATGGCAAAAAAGATGAGGACAACAGTCCGAACAATGTAAATAGTGTAAATAATTACAATACCTCATCTCAGAAATATACACAAAAAAAGTGAAATAGGAAATATAACAGATTTTTTAGCAAGTCATGATATGCAAAAAGTCACTTCAATTTGTACTAAAATTTATTGATACATAAGCAATGATTTAATTTCTGCCATGATAAAAATTATATAATCAGTAGCATTTTTGTTTGGACCCTCTGGCTTAAAATTTGAGATTTAAAAAAAAAAAAACAGAAAATTGTAAAATAGAAGAGGAAACCAATAAAAGTAATACACACTTTGTAGCATCTTAATACTTCATAATTTTCAGTCAATCAAGCAGACACATTGATAATAGATTAAATAAAAAATGCTTTTACTGCTGAGCAGGCTTTTCTTTTGTTGGGGAGTGACAGTAATATGCAAAAGAATTATATTTATTGAAATGACTGCTGAACAAATGAATAAACCACATGTGAATGTTGTTTGGTTTGGTTGTGTTAGTTTAGTGGCATATCAACTTTTCTGTGTTTATTTAATGCCAAACTCTAAATATTTTGTATGCAATTTCATGGCCTCAAACCCACATACCCTGAATGCAATCCCATGCCCCCAACCAGACAACCACACCCTCAGGGCAAACTCACATTTTTCAGATATACAAACCCACTTCTCCATAGAACACCACATTCAAATAACCCGCCAATACTGCCCTCTGCAGCATAAGCATCTTTCAGGCGCCAACAAAGTACACTCAGCCAAAATGCTCCTTAACACGAGTGCATCCTGACATGCTATACATGTTGGCCGATCTTCACTCCTCAGTAAGCATGTGTGGCCCATGTTTAGTTGAACCAGCACTACCATGTTCCACTCTTCCCCCCCCACAGTCAACTGCCTCCACTCATCCAGGAATGGCCCAATTGTGAGAGTCCAGCAGCCCTGCCAACCCTGCTGAATGCGACTGCTCACTCCACCTTTCAGGCCCACACAAGTACCACTATCAAGGGTTTCATCATGGGCAGACCACTCGGGGGTATCCACCTAATTAATCACTTCCAATCCCTATGTGGCTTGGGATCCAGCACAGCACTATTTATTTACTGTTGGATAATGAATCTATTTTGCATAGTATTTTTTTAATTTTTGTTTCTACAGATGATGTCAAGTGCAAGGTCTATTACACAAATCTCTGCATTAAAAATTGAAGCTTTTTTTTGACAAATGTTTCTTTTGTTTTTCATGTTCTTGTTATACACTGCTGCATATCCTGTTTCATTTTTATATTTTGATCCATCCATGAAGATGTATGAATATCTGGGATAATAGTTTCTGATTTTTTTCTAATTTCTCTTGGAATATAAGTGGATGTGTACTTGTTTTATGACGTTTGTAGAGTTTTACATTTATTTCAGGTATTTTATGGTCCAAGTTGGTTTATTTGGCATGATTGGATTATAGATAAAAGTATTTCTGCTTCTTGAATGATGGGTTCCATCCAGAGTCCAAAGGTTTCCATGGCTTTCTCTTTTTGTTGGAAGAGGTTTCTGTATTTTGGATTGAGGGTTAGAGGGGCATGTTTTTAGTTTTTTCCTGTCTAAGTTTTGGTGGAGGTTCGTTTGCTTCTAAATACAAACTTTCTACAGATGTTCTAAATGCTCCAAGTGTCAATCTCAAAACTTCATGGAAGGCTGCATTAAGTATTTTGAGATAAGATTTCTTTGCAGATTGGTATATAAAGTTTCTATAGACCAGCTTGGATCAGATTAATATTCTCAATAATTTGAACAGCGTTTGCCAGTCTGCTTAACAATTTTTTGTGGGCCACCACTCTCAAGAGTTGTAATATTTTATTGCATTTTGTTCTTAGATATTTTAGGTGTTATATGAATGTTAGTTTCTTGTTGATAATTATTCCCAAGAACTTGTACTCATTTACCTTTGGGATTTCTGTCTCCTCAAGTTGCAATCTTGCATCATGATGCAGTTTCTTTTATTACAAAAATGCATGCATTTTGTTTTACTTTTAGAAAACTAAAACTTATTTATTGCCCATCTGTTGATCTTATTTATGCATTGATGCAGGTACCTTTCTATGATGTGCATATTTTGGGATCAGTAACTTACAGTAAAAATCATCCATGTGCAAAATCCATTTATACCTTGAGTGAGTTCTTTTGCAGTTTTATTTATTTTAATACTGAACAGAATAACTGACAATATACTCCCCTGTGGCGTTCCTTGATTTTGGGGATTGGACAGAATAGATTCAATGTGGATCAGAAAAGTTCTATTCAAGAGAAAGCTGCTGTTGAATTCTGGTAGCCTTCTTTTCAGTCCAAGGTCATGTACATCTCGCATGATCCAATGTTTCCAGCTAGTTCATAAGTCTTTTCCAGGTCAAAGAAGCTGTGTTCTTTTCTTATAAAGCTTTCCAACCAAAGCAGGTGGTCCATTGTACTTATGTTTTTCCAAAAGCCACATTCTAAGTCTGTCATTAATTTGCTAAACTAACAGATTATGCACCATTCTTGCCAAGGTATTACATAAACAGATTGTGAAAGAAATCAGTCTATAATTTCCAGGGCCTGAATTGTCTTTTCCTGGTTTTGGAATCGGCAGAACAATTGCTTGTCGCCACTGTTTCTGTAACTTCCCCTATAGCCAGATATCATTGTCTATTTTGAGTATCAATTTTAATGACTCTTTTGGAAGTTGTTTTAAAAACTCAACATGGACATCATCAAGTCCTATGGCTGAATTATGTTAGCTTTTAATGGTGTCTTCATGTTCTGTCAGAGAGAATGATTTGTTGTAATTCTTCAAGTTCTTTGTCTTAAGGTTTAATCTATATTTTTCTGCATTTTGGTTTATAGTTTTGGAGGGTCATTTACAATAGTTTAAAAATTTTTTTAAGAATGTTTTGGCCAATATATTTGTTATAGCCATTTTGTCCATTATTGGGTTATTATTTATCAAAAGATGTTTTACTGGGATAGGTTAATGTTTGCCAGCTATTTTTCTAATCATTTTGCAAACTAATTTTGGTTTTATAGCAGAATTTAATTTCCTGACATAATTTTGCCAACAGTCCTATTTGGCTTCTTTTGTTGCTTTTACAGGCATTTGCTCTGTTTAGTTGATCACAATGGCGGTTACTGGTTCTTTGTTGAATTTTTGAAGTGCTGCTTTAAACCCATCATCAAATCAGTGACTGTTTCTTCTGCTTGGTGTTGGACTTTGGGGGATGCATTCTTTTGCTATGGCTGTTAGGGTTTTCATTAAATTTTCTACTGTTTCTGTATTTTTTTTTAGTTAGTTTGTCTTTAGATAATTTTTCTCCAAATGACCTTACTTAGCCTCCATCTAGATTGGTGCTCATTGATCAATTCCCTGTTCCTCAGAATGATGGATAAAATGTATCATTATACACACTAGGTAAAGTCTAGGCAAATCATACATGGCTAGGTCAATTGCTAACACACTTCCCATTGCTGGATTGATATACATGTGTTTTTTGGTTGAGTAGGCATAGTTTATTATCCATAATAAATTTTTTCCTTGTCTTCTAAGAACCCCAAATTACCATCTGGGGATCTAAGAAGACAAAGTGGCTGCTAAAATCCCCTTGAAGAATGAACAGTTTAGCTAATTGCTTTATCTTCCAGCATGTCTTGATCTATCTGGTCATGTGGTGGAACATACAGACAGCATATGCTAACTGTTCTGTGAAAAGTGGCTCTTACAGTAACTGCCTGTAATTCTGTTTGCAGAACAATTTTAGTCTGGGGAATATCATTTTTTATTAGGACAGTTATGCCTCCAGAAGCCCTGACTCCTGAGTTGTGAATGTGATTGTATTTTTTATACTTCCTAATATTAATATTGTCCTTTTTTATAAATGTTTCTTGGAGACAAATAACAGTAGGATCCAATATTGTTATTAGCACAAAAAAATTTGTTGTAATTTGGATTTAGTCGATCACAGTTCCATTGGATTATTCTATATCTCATGCCTTGTACTTTTCTTTGAGTTTTATACTTTTTAGTATTTTTGATTGGAGTTTTTTTAGTAGCATGTTATCCATTCTCTCTAGGAACTCAAATTTGTATTCTCTGAGTGTCAGGTTTTTTTTGTTTTTTTTTGTTTTGTTTTTGGTTGTGTTTTTGGAATTGGTGGACAGATTGCTGATCTTTGAGATTTTTGTTTAATGAGGTTTGTTTTAGGTGAAGTTTTTGAGTTTTGTATGGGTGGTATCTGAGCCGTAGTATGGGGTTTGATATGGGTTCTTATTTATTTAGTAGTTCTGTTTGGCAGCATTTAGCCATGTATGTTCTTTTTAGGTGTTCTTGGAATTTTTTCATATTGTTTGGTCCTAGCTGCATCAACTGCTTGACAAGAGCTCTATATGTAGGTTTTGTTGTTACACTTGCTGATAAATGAATTCATCTTCTAAGCTACTTTGGAATAGGTACAGCCATTCATATATGATTTCAATATTTTTCTGGCTTTTGGAAAAGACATGTATTCTATACTTCACCTCCATGATTTCTTTCTAACTATATATATATATATATATATATATATATAAAAGGCTGGATGGTCCTCTTTACAGATTATTTAGTTAAGTACAATCCTCCTCCATGTGATCTGGGTCTTTCTTCCACATACTGAGTGTCCTCAAGGCTCTGCTTGCCCATATTTATGAAACTTGAAACACCTAAAGGGATTGGGGATGTACTTTCTCAATTGTAAATACAATTTTTATTTTTTGGATTGAAGGTTTATTAAGTTTAAATATGTGAATGTGTTTGCATTTGCTGAATTCTATTGGGAATTTACCAAGAGGTTTCAACCCATTCACTTTAGTTGTGATGGGAATACATTGACCAGTATACTCACAGCATGAGAGGACTTTGAACCTCTGCTAATTTTGTGCTTTAGTACACCCACACCCACACCAAAAAAAAAAAAAAACTGATGCCTTAATATGAAACAGTGGTCAGAGAACCTCACCTACAGCTTTCTAGCACTTTTAAAATAATGAAGTGTTGAGTGTTAGATCTGATCAGTTTGTGAGATTATATGGCTTAATTATATATAGGTGCTAGGGCTTGACATGACCAACTGATTGATCGGAATGGGCCTTTCCAACCACCTGTCTCACCCAAGTAAGGACCAAAGAGGAATGTTGCTTGTCATATGACCACTTATATACCCAGGTCATGGACTGCTCAGCCACCAAGTTTCTGTACTCAGGCATTACGGATGACCACCTACAGCAAAACAGGTGGCCTCATTGTAGGGGAGGGGTTATCCCTCTGCAGAGGTACAGTCGGCATATTCTACATCCCCGGCCAACAGGGCATATGTGAATGTTTTTTTTCTTACCTCCATGAGGTATATTATTGGTCATATCCATCCGATCCAAAAGGATGCTTAATTGGTCTTTAAGAGGCATGCCTTCTCTGACATCTTGCAAAAAAGTGTCAACTAAAAGAGAAAGAATTGTAGAACCAATTCATGATGCAATCATAATAAATAAATAAATAAATAATAAAGTTTTAGTTTCTTCCTTTTTAATATCATGCAAAATAAATTTCTAATTCAGCCAATTTAAAAGAGGGGAAAAAAACTGATAATCATTCATTTCTTCTTTCATCATGAACAGGGCTTGTTTACAAAGAGTATAACTGTAGCCATTAATTTTCAATAAGAAAATAAATATCCAGACTCTCTAGTGATGGCTTATTCAACAGAACTGAAACTATGTTCCTAATAACACTTGCTACCATGATTATACATCAGAAAATTAAATGGTCTATTTCAAATTCTTTTGTTATGTGATAACAGTTAAGAATAAACTTGATTAACATTCCTCTTTCAATAAACAATTCCTCTTTGGTTTTCTTTTTGCAAGTGGTTTATAAATAGAAGAAATTTCACAAAACACATCTTCCTTATTGGATACACAGTAATAAGTAAACACAAAATAAACACTTAACCTAATGCACTACTAACAATCTGATATCTCTCAATGTCATGCTTTGTGTGTGTATCTTTGAATTCACCAATTTTTAACTGAAACATTTCTATGAAACTATATTTAAATGACTATACAATTTTTATTCTTTTTTATAATGTATGAATAGATGATTTGAAAAAGCAAACTGACATTTCAACAAGTTTTTTTTTTTTATTATTATTATTATCATCATCTTGAACTCTCATCTGTAATTCTTATATCATAATTTGATCTGCTCTTCAACTTTCCTTCATTTTCCTCACTATAAAACCAGAAAATTTGAACCTTATATGAAGGGGTGGTGAAGAAAAGTCCTCAATTAAACCAAGAAGTCCTTAAAAAAAAATTGAAATCAGAGAGTGGGCTAGAGAGAGAGCCTTTCAGCATCCACTCTTATAACTTGTGACACATAACCACTAAAAATACTCAATAGAAAAAATTTTTAAACAGTAACTGAAAATTTTTTTTGTTCAGTTCAAGCATGGCAGTTTTTATATTTTTAGTTGCATATAAAATATTAATGCTTATTTTTTTTTTTTATTACAGTTGAGTGAGACTTGTACCTAAAATTAGATTACAGTTTAAAATTAAAACCAATATAATCTTTAAATAAACTACTGATATTATAGTGGATAATATGAAAAGAGAAAGAAAAGAAAAGAAGAGAAAGAAAAGAGAAAGAAAGAAAGAGAAGAGAGAAAGAAAAAGAGAAAGAAAAAAAAGAAAGAGAAAGAAAAATAAAGATAAAGAAAAAAAGAAAAGTGGATAATATGAAAAAAGAGAAAAAAAAAAAAGAGGAAAAAAGAGAAAAGAAAAGAAAAGAAAGAAAAAGAAAAAAAAAAAAAAGAGAAAAAAAAAAAAAGAAAAGAAAAAAGAAAAGAAAAAAGAAAAGAAAAAAAAGAAAAAAAAAAAGAGAAAAGAAAAAAAAAAAAAGAAAAAAGAAAAGAAAAAAAGAAAAAAAAAAAAAGAAAAAGAGAAAAGAAAAAAAAAAAAAAAGAAAAAGAAAAGAAAAAAAAAAAGAAAAAAAAAAAAGAAAAAGAAAAAAGAAAAAAAGAAAAAGAAAAAAGAAAAAAGAAAAGAAAAAAAAAGAAAAAAAAAAGAAAAAAAAAAAAAAAAAAAGAAAAAAAAAAAAAAAAGAAAAAAAAAAAAAAAAAAAAAAACATGACAAGAGAGACAAAAAAATATCTAATAATAAAGAGACATACATAAGGTGCTGAAAATTTCTCCTTAGCCCAACCAAGGAAGAATGTTGAAGAGAAAAATCTGATGCTTCATTATTTGGTCAGATATGTTAAGTGGGTCAGGCTAAGAACTTCTTCATACAAACGCATCTTTAATACTCTGAGAAATTTAATGAGAACATTGCTAACAACCCACATAATGTAATAATATTGGAAAGTTTGAAAGAAAACCTTATCTTTTTTAGCAAAAATATTAAAAGAAGTTTTCTTTTTCTTATTAAATTACAAATATATTTCCCTAGGTAAATACTAAATTAAATAGACAGATAAATGATTTATAACAATTTAAACTGTAGATGATCACTCATGATTGTATCAGGTCTTGACCAATGTGTACCATAATCATTTTATTTAGTAAGGTATAAAATTACCTTTAAAAACAATTATATCAAAAACAAGGTATTTTCTACTATCTAAAACAAAAGCCCATCTTTTCTAAATTTAAAAGAATAAGGGATAACTACATGACAATAACATAAAACAAATAAAGATAAAATTATTTGCAGATATCACTTTACTGACACAGTCTGGCAACAAGTTATATATAAACAGGAGACAATTATATTAGAATAAAGATAGGAAAAAAACAATGACAAAAACCTTCTAAATTTATTTGAATTATTCTATCTACACTGATTCTTTCTCTCATACATACACACAGAGACTGATCATTAGCAGAAAACAGTGACACAAGCCCTGACTGACCAAGATAGAAGCATTTTAAGTGACATTTAAACTGGTACATTTTTTTCTATATTTTATAAGATATGATAGTATTTTTACTTAAAGCTAGAATAAATTTTGCTTCATAATTAAATATAATAATATATATGTAATATGCTTATTATCTTCAGATAGGATTTTAAAATAATGCATTGATATACGAAAATATGTGGAAATATTTCAACATCTATATAAAATATTATAATATTATGTAACAAAATTATCAATAATCAGTATATTTTGTTTTATAAAATCTAAACTTATTAAAAAAATATTTAAAAAACAAAACAAGATATCAGTTTTCATCCTTAGGAAAAATAAATAAAATATTACTACTGTTATAGTCACTGTGAATGTAAGCTAAAATAGGAAACAAGTGCTTCACTTTACATTAACATTTCTTTCAAGAACATTATAACAAGAAAGATTCAGTCATCTAAAAAGTAGATACATTGGCAATGCACTGATCAGACAGCACCCAACCATTAAAAGCACATAGATACATACACATGCACTTTTCTTACTAGGTTATCAACTTTTAGTGATAGATACTAAATGCTAGAAAGAAAGAAAGAGAAAGAAAAGAAAGAAAAGAAAAGAAAAAAGAAGAAAGAGAAAGAAAAGAGAAAGAAAAAAGAAAGAAAAGAAAGAAAGAAAAGAAAGAAAAGAAAGAGAAAGAAAAGAAAAGAAAGAGAAAGAAAAGAAAAGAAAGAGAAAGAAAGAAAAGAAAAAAGAAAGAAAGAAAAGAAAAAGAAAGAAAGAAAAGAAAAAGATAAAATAGCAGAATCAGAGGAAAACAACTATCCAGGATACATAATGGCCATGCAACTGATTACTTGAAACTTGATACTTTAAGATATTCTGTTAAAGCAGTTACGGGTGTCACTGCTGTGAAAAACATGGTGAGATGGGATGACTAAGAATAACAGGAGTTGTGTCCCCTAGATCAATAAAGATGCACTTGCATTGCACAAAATCTGCAGTAGAGCTATCTAACATCACCCCTATTTCTCAAGGAAACAGATAAACAAAAACTTTTCCCTTCTAACTACATCATATTTGAAGGTAATAAATTTTTTAAAAAATGTTTGAATTTGACTACCAAAAGATAAGCATTTGCCTTAAAGCTAGCACATTGGTTCTTATCAGATCAAAATGGATCTTGAATTGGAAGACAAATGATCCATTGACTTGGCTTTATATATTTAACTAGTCTTTTAGTCAAGTTCTGGTTACTGTAGAAAGTGAGACTTAAAAATTTGAGAGGTTTATTCATTTTTACAAAAAAAATGAAAAAATATTCAGTTGCTCTAACTTCAACATAAAAATTTGCTGACTAGAATGTCTGTAAAAGTGAAAAAGAGCAAAAGAAAATGCAGTTTTTTCCTTGAGTTGAAAAGTATAATTAATTGACCATAATGTTAAGGTAATACCATGGACAAACCAAAGGAAGGAAAAAAAATGAGTCAAAGAAATTTGTCTCATTTTCAAGGAAACAAGTGTTATTCTGTTTTATGCAGAATCTAAGCTAAAATGAAAACTTGCATTTGGTCTTTGAGGCGGGGGATGGTTGAACTGAACAGACAATATCATTGGGGGTATATTCATCACAATTTTTTTTCAATCAAATGACTGCATATGAATATAATGTTCATCATTTTGCTATCAAATTAAACATATATAAGCATAGGGGTCATTTAAAATATGCCAATTATTAATCAAAATACAACAAATAAAATAATACAAGAAAGGGAGGAAGAGGGAGGGAGGGGGGAGAGAGAATAGAAGAGAGGGAGAGAGAGGAGGAGAGAGAGGAGAATAGAGAGAGAGGGGGAGAAGAGAGAGAGGAGAGAGAGAGAGAGGAGAGAGAAGAGAGGGGAGGGGAGAGAGAGAGAGAGAGGGGGAGAGAAGAGAGGGGGGGAGAGGAGAGAGGGGGGAGAGGAAGAGAGAAGAGAGAGGGGAGAGAGAAGAGAGAGGGGAGAGAGAAGAGAGAGGGGGAGAGAGAAGAGAGGGGGGAGAGAAGAGAGAGGGGGGAGAGAAGAGAGAGGGGAGAGAGAAGAGAGAGGGGAGAGAAGAGAGAGAGAGAAGAGGGAGAGAGGGAAAGAGAAGAGAGAGGGGAGGGAGGGAGAAGAGAGGGGAGAGGGAGATAAGAGGGGGGAGAGAAGAAAGAGAGAAAAGAAGAGAGAGAGAGAGATGAAGAGAAGAGAGAAGAGAAAGAGAGAAAGAAGAGAGAAAGAGAGAGAAGAGAGAGAGAAAGAAGAGAGAAAGAGAAAAGAAGAGAGAAGAGAGAGAAAGAGAGAGAGAAGAGAGAAGAGAGAAAGAGAGAGAGAGAAGAGAAGAGAGAGAAAGAGAGAGAAGAGAAGAGAGAGAAAGAAGAGAGAGAAAGAAGAGAGAAGAGAAGAGAGAGAAAGAAGAGAGAAGAGAAGAGAGAAAGAAGAAGAGAGAGAAAGAAGAGAGAAGAGAGAGAAAGAA